AAGTTTTGCTAATGATATTTTTTGTACACGATTACCAACTCTAAAAGGTCAGATTTCAGATGTAAATGAACAACAATAACGAGTAAAATCGTACACAAACACATACATAGATATATTAAAGAAATTATTCGACAAAATATATTAAAAAAAGCATCCATATAAGACATTTTTAAATAGGAAAAAAAGCCATCAAAAAAACTTCACTACGACATCATAAGCATTAAAAATCACATACAGAAAAAAAAACATGGACTTAAATGGCTTCGATCAAGAACGAGAAAAAAAGTTACCTGACAACTTCCAAGGGTTGCTGTCATCACTGTAACATACATCATTTCTTAAAACCAAAATAAAAAAAGAACACTTTTCTTGGGCAAGAAAAACCGCTTTTTTTCTTTTTTTGCTTATTAACATCAACAACTACAGCATTACTACTACAAAATACAACATGACAATATTCCTCTTGACTTATTCAACAATACCACAGAAACAGAAGTAGCAAAAAAAAAAAATTGATTTTAAAGAACAGAAGAAATTTTTCTAGTCACACAAGAACTGTTCAAAGTGGTTGAAAATTGGAATTAGAGGACGGGGAATCTGGAGGTTAACGATGGGATGGTGGACGACGAGCTGGGGGGAGATGAGTGTACTGGGTGAAGGGGTGGGGGGAAAGGGGGTTGGAAGGGGGCAACGGGGAGGTGTAAAACTTTCGTCGATACACTGGAGATATACCGAAAGACGCGGTGAAACGCGCGATGCGGAGCAACAATGCGTGTGTGTGAGTGTGTGTATAGAGATGTGAATTGTTGTTTCTTTCGCCGACGTTTTTTTTCTGCTTCGCAATTATACGTTAATGTACCCGCAAACTGTAGCACAATATTATTTTTTTCTCTCGCATATGTGCTGCTGGTCGTTGATTTAGTAGAGAGCGATTATTTGCATCGTAGAAAAGAAGTCTCTTCGCCATACGCCCTTTGTTATAAACGTTAAGCTCATAACAAAAAGAAAAAAAAATTTTCTTGTAACGATTTTCTGTTTACTGTATTATTATAATTTTTATTTGGGTTAATGGAAATTTGCCAATTTTTTCATTTATGGCGCCAATCAATTATGGAGTAATAGCTTGTACGAATGCTGATAGTGATGCAGAGGAGTATGACAAACGCTGGATTCACGTATCCAGAAGCTGAGGTAAAACTTACACGAAAAAAAAGAATGTTTTTACCGGTAAAATTTTACTTCATAAAATTTGATTGTATTTTTAAAGATGTTTTTAAAATTGTCCACTGGATTGTTGGTGTTAAAGACGTTCTTTTTTTGCGGCTTACATTCTCCGTCCAGAGTTAAACACTGTGTTGTGGAAGGATATGGAGCTTTTTCTTTTTTCAAGTTATTTTTCTTACTGTAAATGTCATATTGACTGCTTTTTCTTGACTGATAAATTTCTTTTTATTATTTGGTTAAAATAACCTACACTGAATTTCTGTTCTTCCTCTTCCACTTTGTAATAACATTTTATCTGTTCACATCAACAGGCTATTCATTTTGCACATACAGTATTTTGTCTGTAAGTGAGAAGAATGTATTTAATGTTGGAAAGTTTATTATTATCGTTGTTATTTTTTTTTTTTCGTTATTGTTATTACTGTTATTATTGCCGTTTTTTCAGTATTAGAGATGATGGCTTGGCTATGGTTTTTAGGAGGTTAGTGAGTTGTTAGGTGTATTTAGACGGCTGTCCTCTCTTGAAACAACTTATAACAACGGTACATTACGTTCTACATTTTCACAATTTGAGGTGATATGTCATATGATTCATGTTATGACCATTTATGACTTTATTGAAAACAGATTTTTTAGCTCTCTTTTTGTCTTTTTTTTCTGCAGATACTGAAGTACATGGTAGCTGCTGAGAGCGACATACACTAGGAATTCGCTAATTATGGTATATTGTTGATTTCGTGATGCATTCACATTATTAAGCTTTTAAACTCTACCAAACAGTGTTGAGGCAGATTGTTTTAATAGAAAGAGTAGACGAAAAACTAATTTATTTGTATTATTCGACCGACATTGTAAAACAGAAGAAGGGTGGTTAAAAGCAAAATAAATAATTAATCAGTTAAAGGAATGAGTTTTTCTTGGCAATTGTATCATATTCGCCGAGGTCAGTTGGTTTTAGCTGTTTTTTATCTTGTAGTGGGAATGGTTCTTAATCTTTGTTTTAAAATCTTATATGCTCTTTGCTACAACGGAAGCGCTTTTGAAATATTGCTGCTGAGCAACGAGTGCTAATCTTTGGTGGTTCATTTTGATGAATATAATAAATAGCAGGAGAAGTGTTAAGGTGCTAGAATTATTCATCGTCTGCCGACTTTCACTGTAATTCACTTGATGATTCACCCTCAAAGGCCATGAGTTTGCTTTTCTGTTTACTTTTTCTCGTTGTTAAAGCGTTTTGATGATGTTACATCTGTTAACTGAGCAGCGCATAAAATCTGAGATCTAAAGTGGTTCAAGTAACATTCTTGCTGACATCAGTGCTTGAGGTGGGTTATGAATTGAAATTTCATAGCTGAGAATAGACGGATGTGGGATATTATCATGCGCTGTTAACCACAGCACTATAATTTGTGTAGTGAGGGCAGTAACCAGTAAGTTTTTTTTCTCTTTGAAGGGTAGGGGTTTATTAGAATTTTTGTGTTTCTTGAGTCAAAAGGACGTTTTTAATTGCGTATCATGGCGTGATTAGGCTGTTCATTAGTACTTTCGTTATCTTCAAGGCAGTGCTATTTTAACATCAGTTCTTCAAAATTTGCATATTATGCAGTCGTATACACGTTCAAATCAGAAAGAGTATTTCTAGAGAAATAGTGGGGACCAATTCCTGCATTAACACTTTCTTTTTGAACACTTGATTCTGGAAGGTTGTTCAAAATGTTTGGAAGCGGTAAATGTTAATAAATAAATTGAGAAGAATAAAAAGTTTTGTAGGGTCACTGTGAACGTCAAAGTGTTTTATCCAGGTTCTGAATCATTCTGATGCGTTAATTAGGATTCCTAACTATCTAAGGAAGTACTCTTGTTGGTAGAAAGTTATTTGGTTAATTTTGGCAAACTGACAGCTTGGTCCGGTTGAAAGGAAAACCGTCGTAAATATATTTTCAGTCCATCTACGAAACATTTCTCGGAAATTCATACCGGGTTGGGTCTGATCGTATGAGGCGAGAATTGAACATTGGCAACATCAGCTTGTCGAAAGTGTCTGTTTGGATCGTCTGTAGAATTGACGATTTCTTAGGGAAGAGCATTAGTTTTGGCGAGCGAGACTTTATTATTAAGGGAAACGGTTTCCTAGAATGATTTTTTTTTGAAAGAGTGTTGGTTGCTATACTTAGCATTAGAATGTTAAGACGCGTTTGGATTCTTTTTCTGACATCAGATGCTGGTATAAAGGGGAACTTTTGCTTCTAAGAAAAGGTGTCTGAGTTCTATTCCTAAATTTTTTTAGGTGTTTAAAACTTCTTGAAAAACTGCTGATTTACGTCATAGTTTTGCTTTCTAGAATACTTTGTTTGTGAATTTCCAAGTATTGTTGGAATAAAGCTTTTTTCCTAACTGCGCTCCTCTTGAATTTGTTATCCGGTGGAAGGAAATGATGTTGCAGTAGCGGTTTACTGTAAAAGGGACAGAACACAAATCTATTGTTTACAAGTATTACGAGGGGATACTATGGTGAGTTGGAAAGTCCAAGGACGGTTTTATACTCTAGTCATATTTCATGGTAAGGCAACAGGACGACTGAATCCGTCGTTCTCAACGCATTACAAATATAAAAGTAAAGTTGCGGTAATGAATGATTGGTAGTTTTTAACTGAAGTAAAACAATGGCTGCTATAGTGAAATGACGTTTTGTTCGGTTATTTTCTTTGATTTTATTAAATCATAATTGTCTGGACACGTTACTGTACAGAAAGTTAATTTAAGAGTAAAACTTAGACGTGGGAGGATAGCTAAATTTAAAAATTGTCCATTTACGCATTAGCTACTGAACGCTTAGATCTTCGTCACTCTACAAGGAGGAAATTCGATACGTCTGCTTGTCAAGTCTGTCTCTGCTGAAACAGTGAAGAAACTTGATGCAGTTTGCTTTAATATCAAAAGTTTGGCTCGTCGCATGATAGGATTAATTGATCCATTCGTGTTTTGCTGCCCCAACTTCCGTCTAATGACTGTTGAAATTTTATCTGTATTTATAAAGGGATACGGAGACAGCTGAGAAAAGCAATAGTTTTAGTACTTCTAAATTTGGGACTTGGCAGTTAGATAAGTTGAACAAAGCCTTTCAGTAGGTCTGATACGAAAAGCTCTGATGACGTATAAAGGGGGGTGAAGGAAGTCAAGGAGGCGAACATAACAAAGAGGATATGATGTGTGCTGATCAAATTTAGACATTTTTAGATACTAGTCGTCAAGGCTTTCAAACGTTGTAGAGGATTTGGCTGAAATCGTTGTGGAATCATTTACAGTAGGCATTTGGTGATTAAGAAAACAGCTGAATTGTACTGATGGATGATTGCAATAATTAAGGAAGCTTAAGTTATATAAGTTTTTATAGATTCGATTACAGCAATCCTCAAAGCAAAGTGGCGGAATAAATCAATAGTGATTTAATCAACCTTCTGATGCACTAGATAAATTTGCAACGATGCTTTTAGCTAAAAAGAAAAATACTTTGTGTACAAATTTACGACACATTTAAAATTTTACATTTTGACGAGACAGACAATATTTCTTTGAACTGCAACTGAAATCAATTGGATTCATAAGGGCATTAAAACTATTAGTAAAATTGCGGTCTGATCATAAGATTGAAGGGTTCCTGAATTCACTATGAATATCGGTCAACTAACTAAGAGATAAGAAAAAGTCTGAAATCACGGAAAGTTCACACATTTGACATGCCGATATTATTTTCTTTTGAAAAGATCGTTCATTACCGGGTTTTGTTGAGGTTCTATTTGTAGGGATAGAGATGGGTAACGCTTGACTGTTGATTGACAGTTTTGGTTCAGGTTATATCGTTGAAATTGAAACTGTGGTCTGATCTATTAGAGTTCTGAAAGGCTCATTCATTTTTTGAAGGATACCACAGTTTCTGAAGCTGCAGATGGTAGTTTTACTCATAAAATGTTGGCTAAGTGGTCAGCCGTTGACGAATAAGAGGCTTTTAGACGGTATGGACAACTGGTGAGCAGCTATCTTTGAGGATAGCTGCCACATAGTCAAATATTAGCGCCACATATGTGATACTGTCTGGTTATCTTTTTAATTCGTTAATTGCCACTACCAAAAGCTTATAGAACTTGTTTTTTTTCCTCCGTTTGGGCAAATGCTATCATAGATGGTGAGCCAAATAAAGTGTCTCATCTGTTTAGATTACAATAATGTTTTATGGTTTTCTGTGTATTACTTTTTTTTTTTTTTTTTGCATATTTAGTAATTGACCATTTACTCCTGAGACCATACCATATAGCATTAGTCGAGTTAGTGCTTGTTATGCTCGTCGTTGACCTTCATGGAGAGTAACACTTATTTCCTGAAACCCTTGTTTTTGTAATGGAACACCTCCTGTGAGAAATATCTTTTGAAGCTTCACGTAGCCAGTACTCCAGTAGTACTGTGCTTCTTGACTGTGCAGTAGAATACTCGCTTACCAAGGCAGAGCAGAGCCACGAGCTCATCGGAATGAAACTCGAGAGAATCGAATGCCATACTTCAAGGAAGATAAGTACGTGGAAGTTGTCAGGGTGCCATGGCTGATTAACTCTTGCCTTTAATGTTACAGCGGAATCCTGCCGAAAAGCGCAGTCGTTGTTTCTGCAGTCACTGGCTTCAATGAGGTCTTTTTTGGAATCAATTTTTGGCAGATATCAGTGTTGTTTTTAGAGATCCGAAGCGTAAAAGCAAGTGGTGACGCCTAACTTGAACAGTCATAAAAGATGCATTTTTTTATTTAGAGGCAAAAGAGACTTCTAGGTCATAGCCGACTTATCTTTTGTCTATACGCCGTTCTCTAATCACTTCATCTGCAGAAATGCGGGACTTTTAAATATTTTTCTAGTTTTGTTAATGTTTTCTATGAAAACCAGTGTAATCGAGCTTTTGTATTTTTTATTGTTAACGTTCATTTAATCATGGCCAAATATCTTGAAATTCAGTTATCATATGAGTGTTTTTTTTCGTTACCGAATGTCGAAACAGTAAGTGCACTAATAAGCTGTAAAAGGACATTTCTGTTATGTGTTTCCTGTTTTTTCCTTTTTAAATTATTTTACATTGATTTCATGAAGTCTGTTTTTCATCAAGATGCATTTTGGGAGCAATTTGATATTAATAAAAAAATTTATTTCAGATAAAGTTGATTACATACGGATATGATAATAACGACATTCTTTCGTTCCGGTTCAGAAGCTGATTCCTCTTTATCTCTGTACATAGTTTAAGGTGTCAGATTTGCGAGGTTAAAAAAAAAAACGATGTTTGAAGCTTATGTAACTACAGAGGTTGCTTCAAAATTGGAAAAATCAGTCGAAGTTGTTTCTATTGCTGCCGACAGTAATCCTTTACAAACTTATCTGTTGCGCAAGTTTATTCTCATTTTCTTCCTCACCGTATATCTTGAGTTCTTAACTTGAAAAGCTTTTTAATTAATATAATTACAGCTCATGCAAAGAAAGTTTATCTAGGCAGTAAAACTGGCCACTTATTATCATTGACCGGACTTCGCGGAGGTATTACTTGACTGAAATAATTTAGATCAGTCTTCTTTGTAATTTGACTGTAATTTTTTTCACGTCTGTTTGTGCAAGCAGTGGTTGAGTCATCAAAGCCAAATACGTTCTTGTGGACATGTATGATACGTAGTTATTGACTTCTTGTGCTTAAGGCAGGCGTGGTTATGACCTATCAATATGCAGATCATTTGAAAAGAAAGCTGTTACTGCTTTACAAATTGTACCTGAACATGGCATAATTCTTTGTCTATCTGACGGCCAGTTTTCTGCTCACGATATCATACATCCGTTTGGTTTAAAGGCAACACTTACCGACGTCAAACCAGTTACATCGTTTTCTACTTATATCAATGAAGTAACTTTGCTTTTTACCTTGTTGTACATAGAAAATTACTTCAGTAAGAGATAAAGTTCTCAGCAAAATTATAGTCTTTGTTGAGCTTCCCATTTTGTTTTGTTTTTCTTTTTTTTTTTTAGGAGGATAATTTTCTTTATGTAGCTTTATCTGCTCGTAAGAAGATTTACTTCTACAAGTGGTTTGTAGATGAGTTCTCGAGCGTGGCTGTAAACCTTTCACCTGGTGAGATATCTCTAATCGTTGTATATAAATAATTGCTTTGAGAAACAATTTTAGGCATACTTGTTGATTAAACCCATTTTCATCAGCATTTACTTTCTGAAATTTTGTTATACACTTTTTTTAAATAAGACTTTCGATTAATTTATTGAATTTCTACCATTTCAATATAAAAATGCTCGTTTTCAAGCATATTTATGTGACATCCCACAGCTTATTGTTTGGTGTGGGCCTATCGTAGCGTTAGCAGCCGCAAACGAATATTATTTCTTCAACTTCTCTTTACTTTCCGTAGGTTTCCACGAATTGTATTGTTCTTTTTCGACTTTTTTGTCGGATATAAAAAATACACAACACATGTACTGACATTTTATGATGACTTTTGACAAGTAATTTAGGATGAAGTCGTGGAAGTTAAAAAGCTTTTTTCACTTGGTTCAAGAGCGGGAGACCCTTTGATTGTCGATTTCAAAGAGGAAAAATTGGTTGCGTACTGTAAAGATGATTTCCTTGTCTTCCAAGACTATGACGGTGCTGCAAGCCCAGTTTCAAAAATCAAATTTTCTGTTTCGCCACTGGAGATTGGTAAGTCGTTTTTCAACAGCTTTTTTTTGCCTATTCTAATGCATTCTATTTTTCAGTTTATGATGCTCCCTATGTGGTAGCGTTGCTTCCTAAAGGAAAAATTGAAATTCGTTCTGTGAAACCGTCAATGCATATCCAGACTCTTCAGCTAACTAAAGCTTCTCATCTAGCGAAGGCGATGCCGTTAGTTTTGAACAAATTTTTTGGTTTCCTATTTTTTTAATATAGCTAGGTGATATTAATTATATCCCAGAGCTAAAAATTATGGAATTTATTGCGGTTTCTATTTCGGAGCCATATATTTGCCTCTGTCGGTTAGATGTTCCTAATTACTCTTCAAGCACGCTTTAACATCTTTATGTTAAAAAATGAACAATGCTGTATGGAAGCGGTTACCGAAACTATTTACTTCTAGATTTAATTAATACTTTTTTTTCAGTGGCACTGTATATGCAGGTAGCTCTGGTGACGTTTGGCTACTAGATTCTCATCCTCATATGAAAGAAAATGTAGAAAGGCTTGTCCGAGAAAAACATTTTGAACTTGCTATACATTTAGCGGTTAGTATGGTTGGTTATATAAGAAGCTTCTATTATCAAGTCAGCAACTTGTGTGATTAAACACTACAACTTTTTTTGGAGCTGCTCTTGATAATGGTGTTTAAATTAAGATGTGCAAGTGTAAAAAAGATCTCATAATTTTTGCTTGAAGGGCATTCGACTTTTTGATTGGTGAAATTTAAGGATTTGTGGAATAACAAAATTTTGGTATAAGTAAATACGCTCAAAATGATTAAAATGTTGGTTTTTTACATTGGAGACTATTTATAGATTTTTATTATGCTGTCCAGGTTACAAAAGTACATAAAAGTAGCTGTGCCAGAGAGTTTAATATGCTGATAGCTATTTATATTGTTTAAGTACGTTTAGAAGCAAGACTGTTGAAACATTTATGAATTTAAAATTTATAGAATTTGTTAAATTTTTTTTGGAGAGGGGGAGAGGGAGTTTGAGCTTAGTACATAAGGTCTTTTGTGTACTATTTTTAAACTGCAATATTTTAGAAAGTGACTTGTTGCTTCAGGCGGATCACCTTGATTTACAGCTATAGATTTGTCTGTTTTACTTCGAGATTTGAATAGAAATTAATTAATTTAAAGTAAGCTCTTTTGATCATTAAAAATTTTCGCTTGAATGAGTAGAACTATAAGGAACGAGGAACTTAGGAAAAATAACCTGATTCAACCGTTACCTAATTCGTGTTTGCTTTTTTAAGTCTGTATTATTTGATTAGTTTACAAGGGTTTTTAAGCTAAGGCAATCTTTTTTCTAGTTCTTCTTACGTTAAAAGGTACTTAGCAGTTGATATCTTGTAATACGCAATCAAGAAACGTTGGTTTCACTAATGCTTTTGATGATAACGTAATCGTTGACAAATTTGTAACTTTTTGGAATAAAAGGAAAAGGAGATGGCAAGTTATCATTATAGACATGCGTAATGGACGTTTAAGACCAATGTATTGTAATATTTGTTTTGGGAAGGGGATGTTTTTATCTTTGTAAAACCTTTGTATAATTTTTAATTTTCTTTTATTTAGGGAATCAAACGGTTAGTAAAACCGGTGTAAGTTTAGCAGATTTTTGAAAACGGTCTTTTGATTTTCATTAAGTCATTTTGCATTAAAATTCTTGCAGATATTGTAGTTTGATCTTAAGTGGTGATTTCTTTCAGGAGAAATGTGAAAATATAGATAAAGATGGTGTGATTGAAATTAAAAGGAAAGCAGCTTTTAACCTGTTTTGTCAGCGGAGATTTGACGAGTGGTTGGAACTACACACTGAGGCAAAAACCGGTATAATTCTTAAATTTTATCATTACTTAACTGAATATTTTAATTTTTCAGATGTCATGACAGTAATTGCGCATTTTCCTTGTCTTCTTGATTCCGCTTATCGTGCCTCTCTGAGCTCTCTTTTGGACGAACCATTACCAGATTTTGCCGAAAACGAACGCAAAAGCGGTTTACTGGCACTCTCTCGATATCTTGCAGCGGTCTTTATTTTTTTAATTTATTTTTATTTGAAAGCTTCATAAAATGCGATAAAAGAAAGAATTTCAGGTCAGAACAGAACATGCTAAAATCATAGCTGATTATAAGAAAAGTATGGCGTCAGATACTCCAAAAGCCTTAAAAAAAGAAGATATATCTCATCACGAGATGGTACTTAAAGTCGTCGACACCACTTTGCTCAAGTGCTACTTGCAGGTGTGTTACCTTAATCGTTTGCTTCTTATGTTCTTATTATTTTTGGTTTTCGTTTTTATGGATTCTGCTAATATCTTTTTTCATCTATTATAGGCAAATGAAAATTTGGTTGCATCGCTAATGCGTTTACCAGATAATATGTGCATTCTTGAAGACTCTGAACAGATTCTGATAGAGAAGGAGAAATTTTACGAGTTATATTTGCTCTATAAGAACAGAGGTCACCATCGCAAAGGTTGTTTTAGTTGAATGTATACCGCTGAGATCTATCTATTTAGTGAAAATTTTTGATTTTTATGATGGTTTTACGAAAGTGCTTTTTTAGTATAAAATCGTTTTCAGTCACTTACATCTGTTTTATCATCATCTGTTAACTTTACTCTGGTGTTACTTATCTTCTTTAACATGCTTTTATTTTGTTTTTAGCTTTAACGCTATTAAAAGAGCATTCTCATGATCCTGACTCTTTATTGACTGGTTGTGAAATGACCGTCAGATATTTACAACATTTGGATAACTCTAACCTCGATCTCATTTTTACGTATGCACCTTGGGTGTTTCACGAAGATTTTGATGCAGGATTTTCTGTTAGTTTGTTTTAAAGTTTGTGAGTCTGTTGTGTGCTCTTCTAATAATTATTTAACAATTTCTTCAGGTTTTTACATACGATGATGATGAAGCTCGTAATCTAGACAGAGACCGTGTTCTTCAGTTCCTGACAAGAGAGTGTGTTCCGGCAATAATTCCATATTTAGTATGTTCATACCTCCTTTTTTGATGTTCTTTATGAAACAAAGCTCCCTGAGTTTTCTCGTCAGGAGTTTGGAATCAAGAGCTTATTAAAGAGTATTTTTGAAGGAGCACATAATTTATGAACTGCATGAGAAAAGGCCCAAATTCCATGAAGCTCTTGGATCACATTACATTTCCCAAGTGAAGCGATTGATGAAAGAATATATCAGCGCATTAAAAGATGGTGCCTTTCAATTTTTAAGCTTGGCTTTAGCTATTTGATTAATTCCGTTTTCCATCTTAAACACTTTTATTTGCATTTAGTTTAAGAACTGTGTTTTCATAAATATTGTTAAGTATCATTTGCTGAGTTGTTTACTGAAGCTTTCACTCAGCAAATGCAGTTTTACACTAATATAACTTTCCGTTTTTTAGATGAAGTCATTGTTCGTGCAGGAGAAGAAGAAGGTGAATTGGGTGAGTATCGCAGAAAGTTGGCTTATTTCCTGAAGGTGTCTGACAGCTACAGCGCAGAGAAACTATTAGTACAACTTCGAAATGATTGTACGTGGTTTAACGAAGGGCTTTATAAGAAGTTATAGTTTTGGACGCACTTCCTTTTTTTTTTAATCATGCTCTAGATAGGTTTCAATGAAACTTTTGCAGTAACTCAAAGTTCATTTTCATTGTTACTTTACCCTTTCAAGGCAGAAGTTTACAATAGTTGTTACTTTGAAAATTCCGTAACGAAAAGAAAAAACGCTGCTGATTTGCTGTTTTTTAGCTCTGTACGAAGAACGGGCTATGCTTTTGGGGAGGCTGAAGAAGCATGAGCAGGCACTTGCCATATATACAAATGTTTTGAAAGACTACAAAGCAGCTGAAAATTACTGCAGCACACATTACGATCGCAATGATCCTGAAAATTCTAAAGTAAGTCATATCAAGCAATCCTGGTCTTTTGAGGTGGAAGAGTCGGATTGTTGCACGGAAAATTTGAACAAGCAATTATTCCTTTTTAAATCTACCTTTTTGTGAGTATCAGTCGACTTATTACGTCTGCCTGAGATTTTTATGCCTTTGGAATGATGAGTTTGTTTTTTCCACTGGGTAATGGTGAATCTTAAAATTTGTGTATTGTGTCTTCAACTTTTCTGCACGTTGCATCTATTTTCTTCAGGAAAAAAAACGTGGTTTTTGAAACAAGTGAGTTTTTCTTGTGTGCAGCAACTGTTCCGTTCTTTTTCTTTTTCTTTTTTTTTTTTTTTTTTTTTTTT